GTAAGAATGTATCTATATACTCTCCTAGTCGAGCAAAAATGGAATTGATCCCGCTCACAATTGGTCATCCTGGGGGTTTTGTCTTATTTTTATGTAATTTTGGTAAGTTGTAAATAGTTGGTATTCTTGGATTTTTTATCATTAAATATTTTGCTTCTTTTTAATTAAGAACCCCTATTTCTTTCCCTTTTTTTATAAAATTTTTAAATTGATGTTTAAGTTTTTTAGTGGGATTTGATGTTAATTTCTTATATGTATCTTTGATACTCAATAATCTTTCCATTTCCAACTCCTAATCAATTTTATCCAAAATTACAATAATTCCACCTTTGTCAGCCCCTCTAATAACTATGTTCTTTCTTTTTTCCAAATCCCTAATGCCTTGAATAATAACTTTAGGAAAGTAATTCGATCCACCATTCTCAATATTTTTAATGTCATTTTCCACCATACTTTTAAATACTTCCAAAAATTCATTACCTTAATTTTTGGGATTAAAAGTTGAAGCATTTTTTAAAGAAGTATGTTGAAACCCACTTTGTGATGTTTTAGTGATTCCATTGTTTTTCTCTTTATTCAATTCAAAAAAATATTTTATATTCAGTTTTCTCACAAATTTTTGTACATCTATAAAAACATGAAACTTGTTCAAAAAAGCTCTTGGTACATATTTTAGACCTAAATCTAATACTCTCAATTCTCTCTCTGTTAACTCAACTTTACTTAAATTAAAAATGTCAGTACCTAATATTCTCTTTTCCTTTTCTTTTCGCTTGCCTCTTCTCTTCCCTCTGTACCTTCTCTTAATCTTCCTACCCCATACTCCTCCTGTTCTTTCCATCCCCTTCCCTGGGGTCTGTAACTTCTCGGTGTCAAATTCCATCCTCTGTTGTGATTCTGATATGCAGTGGTGGATTGATGCACGGTGATTTTGCTTTTTGTACAGAAAAATAATTTTTGAATTTAAAATTGTTTATGGAACAAAGAAAAATATCTTCTTTATTGGTGTTGGACTTTTTTGCACAATTAGTTGGACACTATTAATAATGTATTGTTATAAAGACTTATATAGTTGTATACTTGAATATATTTATAATTTGGGTAAGATTATTAGCGCAAACCTGTTTTTTCATTTTATGTACACACCTTATAGGTTAGGTTTTGCAGCTTTTTATATTTATTTTTTACTATATAATTTAGTATATTTTTGTGGCACTGTCCATATTTTTTAATTCATACAAAAACCTACTTCAGGTTTTGAACGCAAACAGCTAAAACATGTGTTGCTTGTCCCTCAAGATGTGGAAGTGCTCTGCAAAGCCTTCTTTGAAGAAAGTTGAGCTCTGTCCAGTTTATACCTTCTCCCATTTTGCTTTTGGTCTCTGGGTAATGGGCAACCTCACTAAAAAGGCAAGAGACACAATTCTTTAGTAACACCTCTATATTAGTCTTATTCAAAAGAGTAGACCACAAGAATAATGGGTTTAGGTTATACAACCTATTATTATTAGGAATAATGAATTGGCAACCTTTAACAAATTATACAGTCATGAGTAGTACGCTTCAACTATTAAACTGCAACATCAGCAGTAAGAGGGGGAAGAAAAGGCTTGTCGACTTATTGTATAAAGGTTTGTTGACTTAATGTATACTCCTGCATAAATAGATATACACCATAAGTACCCTAATTTGAATAACAATGGCCTTAGAAGAGAAGATGTCCCTTTAAATAGAGATTGCAACTTGAGTCCTGTGATGTTTAAAGTTTCTGATATCTGTTGTTTTCTGCTAGCAACAGTGGGGTCCATAAACAGTAGTGAATGTTGGTAATTCAATGAACTTAAACATTTAGGCTTTGATAACACTGAAGCAAGGTTTTCCTGATACAGAGGTGTAAAAGGTGTCTGCATGCAGTGTCTCTAGAGTGATGACAGAAAGAGGTTGGGCATTCACCTGCTCACTAATCCCATGGATAACTTGGCCTCCTAGGAACAAGAGTTCTTGCACAGGCTTCTTGTCTGTTTGCAGAGATGTACAGAGTTATGGCTTTATGGTCTGTCAGCACGGCGAGCAGAGATGTCTGTTTGAAGACCAGATGGTGACAGTCCTGATGCAGAAAAACTGATGCGATCCCGGTGTGTCAATACTGTGCTGAACATATGTGCAAAGTCCTGCAGCAGTAGGCCCACAATCTTTCTCTGGAGGAGAACGGCAGCCCCCCTGTGTTCAGCTCTGAATCCCATGCCAAGAGAGCGAGTCAGTCACTTGCTGTAGAATATAGCTGCTCTCCCCACATGACTCCCATTTGCCAGATCTCTGGTAGTTGTATCTCTGGTAGTTGTAGTTCAATCAGCTCTCAAGAATACATTATGTATTAACTATAAGCCTACAGGTCCCAAGATCCTCTGCTGTCAGAAGAACTCTGCTAACAGGAAGTGATGTAGCAGTCCCAGTACTGGGCACTAGAGGGAAAGGATTACTCATAGTTTAATCTATAAATGTCCCTGAAAGGTATATTGATATAGCCAGCACCTTGCTACACACCTTCCCCTCACCCCTTTTTTTAATATGTGATTACTTCTTTTCTCAGCTGCATAAGAGCTAGTGGAGGAGAACCAACAGCAAACTGGCCTTCCCAGTAAATAGTTGTGCAGAGTTTGATGGCATGTCAGGACAAGTCTGATCATTGGAGGAGAACAGGCTAAGTGGATATACAGGTGAAACTCTAAAAATTAGAATATCGTGCAAAAAATAATTTATTTCAGTAATGCAACTTAAAAGGTGAAACTAATATATGAGATAGACTCATTACATGCAAAGCAAGATAGTTCAAGCTGTGATTTGTCATAATTGTGATGATTATGGCTGACAGCTCATAAAAACCCCAAATCCACAATCTCAGAAAATTAAAATATTACATGCAATCAATAAAACAAGGATTGTACATAGAACAATATCAGACCTCTGAAAAGTAGAAGCATGCATATGTACTCAGTACTTGGTCTGGGCCCCTTATGCAGCAATTACTGCCTCTGGCACTGCTGAGGTGTTATGGAAGACCAGGATGCTTCAATAGCGGCCTTCAGCTCTTCTGCATTGTTCGGTCTCATGTCTCTCATCTTTCTCTTGGCAATGCCCCATAGATTCTCTATGGGGTTCAGGTCAGGTGAGTTTGCTGGCCAATCAAACACAGTAATCCCACGGTCATTGAACCAGGTTTTGGTGCTTTTGGCAGTGTGGGCAGGTGTCACGTCCTGCTGGAAAATGAAGTCAGCATCCCCATAAAGCTCGTCTGCGGAAGGAAGTATGAAGTGCTCCAAAATCTCCTGGTAGACGGCTGCATTGACCCTGGACTTAATGAAGCACAGTGGACCAACGCCAGCAGATGACATGGCTCCTCAAATCAACACAGACTGTGGAAACTTTACAATGGTCTTCAAGCATCTTGCAGTGTGTGCCTCTCCATTCTTCCTCCATACTCTGGGTCCTTGGTTTCCAAATGAGATGCAAAATTGCTCTCATCAGAAAAGAGGACTTTGGACCACTGAGCAACAGACCAGGTCTGTTTTTCTTTAACCCAGGTAAGACGTTTCTGACGTTGTTTGTTGTTCAGGAGCGGCTTGACAAGAGGAATACGACATTTGAAGCCCATGTCCAGGATCCGCTTGTGTGTGGTGGCTCTTTATGCACTAACTCCAGCCTCAGTCCACTCCTTGTGAAAGTCCCCAACACTTTTGAATGGCCTTTTCCTGACAATCCTCTCCAGGCTGCGGTCATCCCTGCTGCTTGTGCACCTTTTTCTTCCAAACTTTTCCATTCCACATAACTTTCTATTAATGTGCTTTGATACAGCACTTTGGGAACATCCAACTTCTTTTGCAATTACCTTTTGAGGCTCTCCCTCCTTATGGAGGGTGTCAGTGATGGTTTTCTGCACAACTGTCAGGTCAGCAGTCTTTCCCATGATTGTGATTCCTACTGAACCAAACTGAGAGACCATTTAAAGGCTCAGGAACCCTTTGCAGGTGTTACGGCTTAATTAGCTGATTAGAATGGGACACTTTGATCCTAGAATATCGCAGCTTTTCACAATATTCTAATTTTCTGAGATTGTGGATTTGGGGTAAGCCATAATCATCACAATTATGACAAATCACGGCTTGAACTATCTTGCTTTGCATGTACCGTATTTTTCGCTCCATAAGACACACTTTTTTCCCCCCCAAAAAGGGGGGAAAATGTCAGTGCGTCTTATGGAGCGAATATAAAGCGGCCGGTCCGGTATTTCTGCCGCCACCATGTCAGAATACCGGGCCGGCCGCTCAGCTGTTCTCTCCTGCAGGGCCTTACCTGTTCCTCGCTCCAGCGCTGCACAGTCTTCCTGCGCTGGCTTCTGTGACAGCCGGGTGATCACTGTGTATGCGCTGCGCTTTGTGAATGGTCCAGTGTTTTCTGGGACACATGACAGGTCCCAGAAAGCGCCGGGCCATTCACAAAGCGCAGCGCTTCTCGCGCATGCGCAGTGGGCACCTGGCTGTTACAGACGCCGGCGCGGGAAGAAGAGGGAAAGACAACTCCGAGGGAAGTGGGAGCGGGTACCTGTCAAATTCAGGTACCCGCTCCCCCTCCCTCCCCAAAGGTCAGCAGTCTCTGGTCATCCCCTGCACTGTCTGCAGTCTCTGGTCATCCCCTGCACTGTCTGCAGTCTCTGGTCATCCCCTGTACTGTCTGCAGTCTCTGGTCATCCCCTGTACTGTCTGCAGTCTCTGGTCATCCCCTGCACTGCCTACAGTCTCTGGTTATTCCCTGCGCTGTCTGCAGTCTCTGGTCATCTGTACTGTGTCCCTGGTATTTTCCCTGTACTATGTCCACAGTCTCTGGTCATCTCCTGTACTGTGTCCGCAGTCTCTGATCATCTCCTGTACTGTGTCCGCAGTCTCTGGTCATCTCCTGTACTATGTCCGCAGTCTCTGGTCATCTCCTGTACTGTGTCCGCAGTCTCTGGTCATCTCCTGTACTGTGTCCGCAGTCTCTGGTCATCTCCTGTACTATGTCTGCAGTCTCTGGTCATCTCCTGTACTGTGTCCGCAGTCTCTGGTCATCTCCTGTACTATGTCTGCAGTCTCTGGTCATCTCCTGTACTGTGTCCGCAGTCTCTGGTCATCTCCTGTACTGTGTCCGCAGTCTCTGGTCATCTCCTGTACTGTGTCCGCAGTCTCTGGTCATCTCCTGTACTGTGTCCGCAGTCTCTGGTCATCTCTTGTAGTGTGTCCGCAGTCTCTGGTCATCTCCTGTAGTATGTCCGCAGTCTCTGGTCATCTCCTGTAGTATGTCCGCAGTCTCTGGTCATCTCCTGTAGTATGTCCACAGTCTCTGGTCATCTCCTGTAGTATGTCCGCAGTCTCTGGTCATCTGTACTGTGTCCCTGGTATTTTCCCTGTACTATGTCCGCAGTCTCTGATCATCTCCTGTACTGTGTCCGCAGTCTCTGGTCATCTCCTGTACTATGTCCGCAGTCCCTGGTCATCTCCTGTACTGTGTCCGCAGTCTCTGGTCATCTCCTGTACTGTGTCCGCAGTCTCTGGTCATCTCCTGTACTATGTCTGCAGTCTCTGGTCATCTCCTGTACTGTGTCCGCAGTCTCTGGTCATCTCCTGTACTATGTCTGCAGTCTCTGGTCATCTCCTGTACTGTGTCCGCAGTCTCTGGTCATCTCCTGTACTGTGTCCGCAGTCTCTGGTCATCTCCTGTACTGTGTCCGCAGTCTCTGGTCATCTCCTGTACTGTGTCCGCAGTCTCTGGTCATCTCCTGTAGTGTGTCCGCAGTCTCTGGTCATCTCCTGTAGTATGTCCGCAGTCTCTGGTCATCTCCTGTAGTATGTCCGCAGTCTCTGGTCATCTCCTGTAGTATGTCCGCAGTCTCTGGTCATCTCCTGTAGTATGTCCGCAGTCTCTGGTCATCTCCTGTACTGTGTCCGCAGTCTCTGGTCATCTCCTGTACTGTGTCCGCAGTCTCTGGTCATCTCCTGTACTGTGTCCGCAGTCTCTGGTCATCTCCTGTAGTATGTCCGCAGTCTCTGGTCATCTCCTGTACTATGTCCGCAGTCTCTGATCATCTCCTGTACTATGTCCGCAGTCTCTGGTCATCTCCTGTAGTATGTCCGCAGTCTCTGGTCATCTCCTGTAGTATGTCCACAGTCTCTGGTCATCTCCTGTAGTATGTCCGCAGTCTCTGGTCATCTCCTGTAGTATGTCCGCAGTCTCTGGTCATCTCCTGTACTATGTCTGCAGTCCATTGGTTCAGAATATTTTTTTTCTTGTTTTTTGCCTCTAAAACCTAGGTGCGTCTTATGGTCAGGTGCGTCTTATGGAGCGAAAAATACGGTAATTAGTCTATCTCATATATTAGTTTCACCTTTTAAGTTGCATTACTGAAATGAACTTTTGCACAATATTCTAATTTTTTGAGTTTCACCTGTAAATTGGAATTATAGATCACCCCAAATTTATTTGACCTGCTCTAATTGGTATATTAAATTAAATTTATGATAGCAATTTGCACTTCATGTAAATCTGTAGGAGACATTACCAAATAACATTATATGCAGTATTTAAAGGGCATGCAAAAGCAAAATTGTTTAAGTTTTGGATTGGGGCAGTGTTAGACCCTCTGTCCAGGTGTTTTTTGCTGTCTCCACACAGAGAGATTTACTCCTCTATTTGTGGTGGCCATTGTCATGTCCCAAAAACACGAGGTTAGGGGGAATCATATAATAGTGACATCTGTTTTGGTGACGGCTGTCTAAGAGAGAATTCCCCTCACTTTGGGGAGATTTTCTCTCATTTCCTTTTGTGTTTCCAGTACAGGAAGTGAAGAAAAATCTGCCTAGTGGGACAAAGACAACACAAATAACCTGATCAAGGTTTTTTTTTTTTTTTAAACTGTGTCCACTGTATCCAAAACAACAAAATAAAAGAACATTGGGCTATACATACACTTTAAGGGACATGGAAGTGGAGGTATGGCTCTTAAACCTTATGCCTTGTTTAATAGGTATACTGGCGTCTTGCTTAACAGGTTTGCTTTATGAAAAGATCAGACCAAAATAACGACCACACAGAGTACAGTCCATTGAACATGATCATGCTGTGAATCTGAATTTGTTTTACAAGAAGAGCTGTCAGAGGGTATCCTGTAAACATCTGCTCACTATGGTCTGCTCAAGGGTTGAGGTTTGAGATGACGGTATTGAGCAAACATATCCTTTATTAATCATTAGTAACACACATTCTCTTCTCAAAGCACAACTGTACTTTTGTAAACTCAATCAGATACTGAAAACCTGACAATTTCTGTGCTTTGAGGAAAGATTTTGCTATAATCCTCATAGCCTAGTGATATATGTATGCAGCTGTATGTTATACACTACTTATACTCATAAAGCACAGAAAGTATACTGCTTATGGTCTCATTTTGACTTTCTACTATTTTTGGTATCTCTCTGAAAAGCGATCTGCAGTGGATTAACAGGCAGAGAGGAGGCAATATATATTGCTTCCTTATTGTATGTTTTGACCCTGAAAATGTCAAACCACTGCACTGCAACCATGTAAACTGATGTTGAAAAGCATTGATATACTCGATTATGGCTGCGCACAGTCCTTCACTCCTATGGCCATCTGTACAAACCACCTGCAGCTCCCTAGACACGGAAAAAATTGACATTTTAGGCTAGAGTATATTTCAAAACCAAGCCATCTGCGTTCTTGTGGCCTAACATTGGAAACATGCTGATTGGAGGGCAGAGTACAGGAATGATACTATCAGTGTGCTGGTTCTCCTTTGTTGTCCAGTCAGTAGACAGGAGGCAGAACTTTGAGCAAGCTATCCTGCTTAACTGGACTGCAAGTATTCTTGATTCCTGACCTGCAGGATCGCAAGACTGGCTAAACACAAATGCAAATCTTTTGGCAGGTAAGAGTTCACATATACACCGAACAGCCATAACTTTATGACCACCCACCTAATAAGTCCCCCTTTTGCCATTAAAACAGCCCTGATCCATCGAAGTATGGATGCCACTAGACCTCTGAAGGTATGCTGTGGTATCTGTCACCAAGCTGGTAATAGCAGATCCTTTAATTCCTGTTAGTTGCGAGATGGAACCTCCATGGTTCAGACTTGGTTTTCCAGCACATCCCATAGATGCTTGAGATCTGGAGAATTTGAAGGCCAGGTCAATACCTCTAACTCGTTGTTTTTTTCAAACAGTTCTTGAAGAATTTTTACACTGTGGCAGGGCACATTTTCTTACTGAAAGATTCCAATGCCATCATGGATTTCAGTTTTTGTGAAGGAGTGTACTTGGTTACCAACAATATTTAGGAAGGTAGTACATGTCAAAGTACCATCCCCATGAATGGCAGGACCCAAGGTTTCACAGCAGAATTTTTCCCAAAGCATCACACTGCCTCATCCAGCTTGCCTTCATCCCATACTGCATCCTGGTGCCATATCTTCCCCTGGTAAGTGAAGCACACACACCCACCCACCCACCCACCCATCCACATGATGTAAAAGAAAACATGATCCATCAGACCAAGCCACCTTCTTCATTTGCTCCGTGGTCCAATTCTGATACTCACATGCCCATTGTAGGTGCTTTTGGCTGTTGGCAGGGGTCAGTATGGATACCCTGACCAGTTTGCGGCTATACAGCCCCGTACACAGAATACTGCGATGTCCATTTTTTTCTGCAATTTCATGGTCAACATGTTTACTTGCTGCCTTACATATTCAACTGTTGCCATTTTAAGGAGATAATCAATGGTATTCACTTAAAATTGTTCTAAATGCTGAAGGTTTTTTATCTTCATGCATTCTATGCATGAAGGTAAAAAACCTTCGGTGTGCAGCTCCTCCCTCAGCCCCCCTAGTACTTACCTGAGCCTGATTGCTATCCAGCACTGTGCATGAGAGCCTCAGCTCTCCTGGGTCTCTCTCTCTCCTCATTGGCTGAGACACAGCAGCAGGGGCCATTGGCTTCTGCTGCTGTCAATCACAGCCAGTAAGGAGGGAGTGGGGTGGGGCCAAGCCATGTTCTGTATGTCTGTATGTCTTATGGATATACACGGCTGGTTCGGGAGCAAGCAAGCATGAGTGCCCTAGAGCAAGCAGCTTGTTCTGGGGGCACTCAGTGGGGGGAGGGGCCAGGTTCGCCAGCGGGGGACCCAAGAAGAGGAGGATCGGGGCTGCTCTGTGCAAAACTCTTGACATGATTGTTATTTTAAAGCTTTACAACCACTTTAACCTGTCAGTGTTCATAAAGTTATGGCTGATCGTGTGTATGTATTTCAACCATGAATTTAGCTTTTGCCAGGAGTTCAGCTGTAACATATACAATTCAAATAGGCTTGTGGACAACATTTAAAAAATGGTAGGTTTTTAGCAATTACTGCAATATAGTTATCCGTCATGCCTATGCAATACTGTATATAGCGGTTATATTTACTGATTTTATACCAGTTACTTTTATGTTTGTGCAGCTGTTTATCACTTATCATGGTACAGTGACTTCAATTTATCCTAACACCAATCTATGTTAACTAAAGAGCTAAATTTCTCCATCGGGCAATATATTCACAGTAACCATAGCAGCCGTCCTCTCCAATCAGAAATGAGAGAGCTATGGAATTTAGAGAGAGAGTAAAGATCTACTATTGGCAATTGCAGGCCGGCCCAGATCTGATTTACGATGCCATGTCAGTCCTTCCTATTAGGCTTCCTAGTCAAATCAAATTGTTTCAGCTGGAGTCCCAAATTACACACAAATTGTGGTAATATAAATTGGACTTTGATTTTTTACAGAACATTTAGATATTGTTTGCATTCCTATACAGAGGAAACAATTTTGTGTAAACAGCATGATTCATTCTGGATAGTCAATTTACACCGCCAAATTATGGTCGAAATTTAAATTAAAAGCTCAGCAGGAATTGGATAGCTTATGTGTATGTGTGATGGTTTTTATATTAAATGGTTTACACAAATGCTGTTGTTTATCTTTGAAACAGGTTGTCATGAATATTAATGAGACCCAGGTGTTAATGTCACGCTGTTTTACTTCCAACTAAAAATCTTTAAATTGAGTTAAGTATTTGAACAAGTATTTTTAATAACTCTCGTGGTAATTACTGGATCAGGGGGTAATATGGGTAAGGAGATTGTATGTTTAATAATGTACTGGAGGGGGCTGTCGGGGAAAGCTAGATGGCAGTAGAACCTTTTTACTTTGACTATAATGTACTATTGATCCTTTGATCAACCCATTAACCTTATTTGTTATGGAGGCTTGTATAGAAGTTAAATGATGTCACACTGCTGTCAGACACATTGGAGGACACAACAGGCACTTAGTGCTTGCTAATATGCCTAAAGAATAATTATGGAATATTAAAGAAAACCTGTCATAACAGAAACATGGAAGCTGCTATTCTGACTCCAATTATTGTAATAGTGATGCATCTGTTCCTGAGTTCTCTATACCTGGCCTAAAAAAAGCAGGGATAATAACTGCATACAATCTTCATTGGATAGCAGAACTCATGACCAGGCCATTTTTTGCTATTTAGCACTGTGCTGATTTAACTGATAATTGCACCGTCATAAATTTCATTTGGGTGCAGCATTGCATATCATTTTTTTCGCACAAATAGAGCTTTCTTTTGGTGGTGTTTGATTACCACTGGGTTTTTTAATTTTTATTATGCAAATGAAAAAAGATCAAAAAGTTTGAAAAAAACTCAATATGTTTTACTTTATGCTAAAAAATATCCCCCAAAAATGTAAAAATCTATTTTTTGTATAAGTTTAGTCCAAAATGTATTATGCTACATATATTTGCATGAAAGTTACAGCATCTGCAAAATATAGTATATATACTGGATTTTTTTTTTTATACTAATAATGTTGGTGATCAGCCGCTTATAGTGGGACTGTGATGTGCGGTGGACAATCTGACATTAACTGACACTGGGTGGGAACTAACTGCTACTGACATCACAAGTCACAGTAATATAGTGATCAGTGATAATACTATACACTGTCACTTACTAATGACCCTGGCTGGGAAGGGGTTAACATGTTGAGTAATCAAGGGGTTAAATGTGTCTAACAAGTGTTGTTTTGTGAAATGTGTGCTGCTTTTTACTAAAGATCTCTTTGTTTATTATCCCTGCTTTGCAGAGAGAAGAAACAGAAAGATCATCCCCTCTGTACAGAGCCTTGTGTTTATTGTCATTGTTGTGATTGGACAGGCCGATCAGCAGGCTTGG